AAAAATTTTTTTTTTTTTTTTTTTTTTTTTTTTTTAATCAAGGATATTTTTACATACAAAGACGAACTTTCTGTAATTTCTTCGCTAGGAATTTTTACAATTTTAATTGTGCAAGTGGGACAATGCGCGTATGGTAAGAAAAAATTTAATAAAAATTGAAGTTCTTGTTCATTCGTTATTTTTAACGCCTATAAATTCAATATATCAATATATCATATTCAACTTGTAAATAACAATAATACAATTATTAATACGAAACTGACCTCGAATACTTTATCCAATCGAATCAATAAATTATTCTCTTCCGTATATTCAGAAAGTAAGATTTTCAATGTGTCTTCAATAAGATAATCACATTGATTAGAAATCAATTTAAAAATATGATTCAATAAGCGTCTTTCTAAATTTATTTCTTCCAAAGTAGTTGGTGGTTTGTATAATTTAGTGATCGTTCTTCTTTTCTTGGCTTCCTCTTGTTCTTGAAAATATGAGAGAAAATTTTTATTTCTTGAATTTTTAGTTATTTTTATTATAAACGATATAAATAATTTTTTTTTTTTTTAAATAAATTTTACCTGTTTTTAAGGCACACATCGCGCCACAATACGAAGGCAAATCTTCTTTTTTCAATAACTCCTCCTCCGGTGGTTGCCATTCCAGTAATAACAATTGTTCGTGTATAATTCTATCTGCCGTTAAAATCTAAAATATATAATCGTAAAAAATTTTAATTAAAAACTATTTCATTACAATAATCATTACAAAATACCTTATCGATTAATTCGTTTGCAGTTTTAATATTCATATCCCAAACTTGCATGTACTTCTTATCATTGATGATCGCAAGATAATTAGATTTCTTCTTCAATTCCAACACAGATTTTTGCGATTTTAATATTTGATTAGTGAGCTTTTGAATTTCCGCCTTTTTTGATTCTTCCAAATCGGAATAAGTTTTTTTTAAATTGTTAATAATATCTTGAAGTCTATTATAAAATGTAAATAATAAAATAATAAAATTTTTACCAACAAGATGTTCGTAATTAATTATTTTTCTTCATATTTTATTATTATTAAAAAAAAAAAAACGAATGATTTATAATTTTTAAAATAATGATTTATATAAGAAAAATAATTAATATACACACTTGTTGATTTTTCTTTTTTGCTGATTTTTCACGATAGTATTTTCTTCGTCTCGCCGCTTCAACACTGCAAAATTGTAATCCAATTTCTCAATATTCATTATACACAAAGCTTTCATATTTTGCACTTCCTGTTGAAGATTCTGTATTTCCAACTCGTACATGATCTTTTGCTTCCTAAATTTCTCTTGATGTTCTATTATTACTTTCTCCATCTCTATCTCATATTCTTTCATTATTTCCTTTCTTTTCTCCTTCTCTTCAAAAGTATCCTCTTGAAGCTTCTTAAACAGCGCATTCCATTTTTCCATAGAAATTTCCATCAGCATCTTACGCTCAGATTCGATAACAGTTTCGATCAGTTCCATCTCGTGGCGATAAGCTTTAGTCATCGTTTTCACCTTTTGGATAAAATATATATTTTTTTTTTCAGAAATTTTTTATTTTTTTTTAATATTCGTATAATAAATAAATAAATATTTAAGAAATTGTTTAAGAATTCTTTTTTTTTTTTGCAGTTAAAAATACACTCACTTGACTTTCCATTCTTTCGATGAGTAAATTAATATCTTCGTTTTGTTTCTTCACGTCTTCAGTGAACATTAAATCGGCATTCTGCAACTCTTGCTTCAATAGAGCGATGAAATCGTCCTTTTTCTTTAGAATTTCGAGACCCCTGGCATTTTGAAGTTCTATTTCATCATGAATATCCAACGGATGTTTCAAGGCAAGTATATCAGGCCATTTTTTCGTAATTTCGTCGTATTTCTCCATGTATACTTTGTTCTCTTCCTCGAGGATCTCCAATAATTTCTGCCTCTTCTCTTCCACTTCCTTTCGTCTTTCCAATTCCTTGGCATCGTTTGCGATTTTAACACCAGCGATCTAAAAGTATATTAAAAGTTTTTTTTTATTTAAAAATTTCTATTCGCTAATGACATTAATAATATCCACTGATAATTAATATTAAAAATAATAATATCATTAATTAATTCGTGTATTATTCATAAGTAAGTTATTAATTTCAAACTTTGTTACTGTTAGAAGAGTTAAATTCACATAAATTAAATTAATTGCATATATTTCAAATGCCAGTTAAATTAATGTAATATAAATTATATGGTAAAACATATTTTATGTAATTAAATTTAAACCATGTTCTTTTTTTTTTCAATAATTAATAATTTAAATTATACGTACCACTTCATCCCCTTCTATAGTTAATTTTTCCAAAGCTTCTATACTATCAAAAATTTGCTTTTCTATGTCAGTTATTTCTTCAATTTCTTGATCTTGAGCTTTTATCTGTCTAACATCAAAAAAATTATTAATTCAAATTTAAGTCATAAAAATATATTAAATTTATATATATCCAATATTTCTTACTTATCTCGTTCTTCTATATGTCGTTGTATACGAAGTCTACGTGCCAACTTCCGCTCGATTGGATCAGATGATAAAATGGATGGTTCTTCTATGATCTGTGAAATATCTGATTTACCAAAGATTGACATATTATTTTTGACTTATACGCATAAATATATAGATAAAAATATATATATATAATTAAGATTAAAATTAAAAATTTAATATTTATGTGTTAATTTAACACATATGAATGTTTAAAACTAGTATATTATGTGAAAGGTTAGATATCAAAGCTAAAAATGATAATGAGAAACAACAATTATGTATTTTCTGTAATATAAAATAAACAATTTTGTTTGTTCGATATAGAATTATTGTTTGTACTTACTGTTGGTAAGTAATCAATTCTTAATGTTAATATTACCGACAGATGGCTCTAAATGTAAGAAAAATAATAATTATTAAAATTTCTTCATTCAAAAGCTGTCGCCACTGTCCACATAGTTGTGTAATATTGATAATACTTTTTAGCTTAGTTTACAATTATAAAAAAATATGCTATATGGAAAATTATATTTTTGAAGAATTTAAAAACATTTATTTAAATTTTAAAATATTTATTTCATTAATATATAAAGATATATTATTTATCTATTATTATGATTATTTAATTATTTATATATTACGATTATTTTATAATATATAAAGATTTCAAAATTCTTATTGTTTAATCATTAAAATAATTAATAGTTATAAATAAATTTTAAGATAGAAAAAATTAAAAAAACATTTTGATATTTTTAATTGAATTATTGACAAAACTATTATATATGATTATTTATTTATTTAATTTAATGATATTAAATATAATTTCCAATAAAGTTTTGTAAATACATTAATGAAAAATCCACACAATATTTTACGCTTTTAATTAATTGTATATTTATTTAGCAGTAATTACAATCTAGGATTTTGTGTATGGACACTGTACATAGAATATAAATTATCACGTGACTATAAATCAGCGATATAGAATACTCAATAACTGTTTCTTATTCAAAACATTTTCAATATGAAACAGTCATGAAACTTCGTTTTCGACGAAACAGTACGAGTGCAGGAAATCGCTTTCTCTAGCCTCAATGGCGTACCCTGTACAAACGGATGTTTAATATTGTTACCAATAGAGCTAATATTATTCAAATAAACCATCATGAACCATTAAAAGAAAATACGACACGTAAAATACAAACGAGCGATAGATCTTGTGAATTCGTAGCCACACATCGACGCCATGAATCTACGACTTTGACGCGATTTTAGCGGAAACAAGATGGAGTAAGGTCAGGATCGGCTCAATGTATTTTGATGCCCTATCATTTTCAAAATCATAATTCCTGTATTTTGTTTAAACTTTAGAATTAGATGATAATGAAAATAAATGTATTAGATATATTTTGAAGTTAGATATTTGAAATATAACATAACTCATTATTCTTCAATTTACAGAAAATATTTCAATAAATAAATAAATTATTTATTTTCTTTATCTATATATTTGATATGATTATTAATAATGATATGTTTTTATTACACAAACATAATAACTATTAACAATATAATTATCTGACTTTTGTAATTTGTTAAATAAAATTATTCCATTTTCTTCTTACATTACATACATCTTATTCCATGCTTTTTATATTTTTTTTCTTTCTTTTTCTTTATTTTTGTTATAGAAAAAATAAGATCGTAATATTAACTAAGATAGAAATAATTTCTTATATTCGTAATATTTTGCGTCTATGGTATTTATGTACAAAGAATTTAGACTGATAAATATTTTATTAGTTTGTGCACGCCATCGAATCGACGCGTTTGTTTGATCGTTATTTCCTTGATTAGAGAGCACGTCACAAAGTTAAGTATTTTTATTTTCGTAATAATCCGATTTTCCATCTTTATTCTTAGTAGAAAGTACTGATGCTCTGGGTAATTGGCTGCCCCTAAACCGGCCCTGGTGAGAGCGGGATAGAAAGAGAAAGAACGTACAACAAAGATGGCGGATAAGTGGGGACGGCGGAGGAGGCATAACGTAGGAGGAAGAGGACGAAGAGATTGCAGAGTAGAAAGAGAAGAGGAGAAAAGAGGACAAGACTACAGGGTGCGAGATTCGTTAAGAGGGGCAAAGGGAAGAGGTGATGGGTATAGAGGGGTAACGAAGAGAAGAGATGAGAAAAGCCAAGAGGAGAGGTAGCGAAAAGAGAGATAGACACGGCTCGAAAGGGACGAGTGCGGCTTGGGGGTTTGGGTTAGCTCGTTCGACCCGTTATCCCTTCTCTCCCGGAGTTCCGAGTTCTCCCTACCTGTCCTTGCTTCGATTCGAACGAGTCCCACCACT